AAATCCGATCCAATATATAAACGTACAGACACACACACACAACCTGGGTTTTATAATAAGTATGATTAAACAACGACATTGTTGAGAAAAGATAAGTCAGTCAATTGATATATATTTACATATTTATATATGCTTATAGACAGGTCATCTGACACCTATGGAGGATGACAGATTGCTCCGAAGACTTTTTTTCATAGTGAGCCGGTACAAGGTCATCGAGCTGCCCATAAATATTTCGAGGATGTACTTAAATGTAACCTAAAGAATCTTAGCGTTAATGTTTAAAACTGGAAAACTGTTGCTGAAGATAGATCTGGCTGGTGAAGGTTGATCTTGGAATGCTGCAAAATTTTTTGCCCCCCCAAGAAACAAGTCACCAGGTCTCTGTATTCGGCACACTTCAAAAGTGTGGTTGGTTCTTCACAAAGCCGTCACCGCTATAATCAAGTCATATGTACAGGTGTCTGGCTACCGCTTCCTAAGAACTGAGCTGCTGACACTCATACGTCGAATACGACGGGAGAGTCCACCATATATAGCAGCTCATATATATATATATATATATATATATATATATATATATATATGTTATGAAATGGACAATGCCCGACAATTATTTTAAGACATTTTTATGTTTATACATTCTTTTTATAGATACAAATATTTAAGTAAATGTTCTGTTTATAATAAACAGTATTAAACAACATTTACTGGCCTAAATTTCCGAGAGATTTTCATAGAAAGTATTCGTCCTTCGACAGGAATCGAACCTGTATCATATACGGAACCGTCATTTAGCCTGACGTACTCTTTACCGATCGAGAGATTCATAGAAGATTGAAGTTTAAAGGCAGTAAATTCGACCTTGCTAATCGAACGATCCTCTGTGGCTCGAATAGAATATTTTCTATGAAAATTTCTCGGTCATTCAGACCAGTAAATGTTATAAATACTGTTTATTATAAAAAAGAACATTTACTTAAATATTTGTATCTATAAAAAGAATGTATAAATATAAAAATATGTCTTAAAATAATTGTCGGACTTTGTCCATTTCATGTGTGACGTCATTTGTTTACATTTGGATACGCTTTGAGCAGATATAAATGTACGTGAGAGATTCATGGAAGATTGAAGTTTAAAGGCAGTAAATTCTACCTTGCTAGCCGAACGATCCTCTGTGGCATGTCAGGCTAAATGACGTTTTCGTATATGATACTGGTTCACTACGAATATTCTTCAGAGTTTGTCTATATTTCTGAGATGAGGTATTATGTACAGTATTTACATTAGTCGGACTATTGTCCTCATCTTTGTCGCCATATTTGTCACAACGTTTCGGCCGTTGTACGCTCCGGCCTTCTTCAGGTGGTTGGAATTTCGAACTGAACCCTTTATTTCGATCACCGGGGTAGACTGTTCTAATTCCACGTGCCATGTTTGATGGATGTCAGTTATCAGTTATCTCCAGACCCAAAGAAGGTGAGTTCAATTCCTGGTTAAGGCAGTGGAGAACTTTCAGAGGGAAAATTAGCAGGAAATAACTGATAACTGACACGGCCGAAACGTTGTGACAAATATGGCGACAAAGATGAGGACAATAGTCCGACTAATGTAAATACTGTACGAATATTCTTTATGAAAATTTCTCGGACATTCAGGCCGGTAAATGTTATAAATACTATTTATTTAACAGAGCATTTACTTAAATATTTGTATCTATAAAAAGAATGTATAAACATAAAAATCTCTTAATATATATATATATATATATATATATATATATATATATATGCTGTCTGCGTGCAATCTGTGGAGCTAAGCTTCAAGATAGGACATCTAACGTAGACCTGTTTAACAGGTGTAATATTGGAGGAATCGAGACTTTTCTCATACAGTCTCAGTTACGATGGACTGGTAATGTCTTGAGAATGTCTGATGACAGGATACCCAAGATTCTAATGTACAGCCAGTTAGATCAGGGACTACAGGAATGTAGGACGCCCATGGCTAAGATACAAAGACAAGCTGAAAAGCAACTTGTCAGCTGTCAATATACTACATAACACCCTTGATCTCATCTCACAATCTTCACTCTTGCTCCATATGTTGCCTCCTTTGTAAATCACTAGCAGGACTTAAGTGCCACTTAAGATTATCGCATAAAATTTCATAACTGAATCAATTATTCTGTCAGATCCTCATACGTCGAAACCGACGGGCAGAGGGTCCATTATATATATATATATATATATATATATATATATATATATATATATATATATGGTGTGTGTGTGTGTGTGTGTGTGTGTGTGTGTGTGTGTGTGTGTATTTATAAAAACATAAAGTAGTGTCTACGAAACAGTTGTTCTATACCCCTCTTTTATATTCCTCTGCAGTGTGAACTAATTATCGAAGATAAATTATATTCTCAGAGCGTTTTCACCTAAGAGCAATCTTGGACGTCAATTGGTTGTCCGCCAGACCCGAAAGTCCTTCAGTGCGCGAACATTGTCATCATACATCGCTTCTCCGTAATCAAATGCGCTGGAAAGATCACCTGACACGTATGGAGGAGGACAGATGGCCCAAAAGAATTTTTTTACACTGAACAAGGTAACTGACTCGCCCATAAGCCTAACAAACTTTTCGAGGATATAGTTAAATGTAACCTAAAGATTCTTGGCGTTAATCTTGAAGACTGGGAAACTGTTGCTGAAGATAGATCTGGCTGGAGAAGGTTGATTTGGGAATGCTGCAAGAATTTTGATTAGAAGAGAATTGAGCATTCCAATAAAAAGCGCGCCATTTCGAAGGCAGAAAAAGAATCTGCAATCAGTTTCTTCCGGTTTGAAATAAATGTCCGGAATCTATTTCCTTCTACCAGCAGAGTATTGGTTTTTACTCGGGTCTAACAATCCAACAACACGTGATTCCTTTTCGCTACGGTATTCGCAATTCTCTCTGTTGCCTTTTTAAGTACATTTTATATTATTGAGTGACAAATTTGAATATGTTAGATTTTCGCGAAAGTCTATCCGACCTCGAGAGCTGTATGCTTTAAATATACGTCTTGTGAAACGGCACAAGGGGCTTATGGGGATTGCACTCACGTCATGAACATTAATGCAGTGTAACCCAAGACATTGAACTGCGCAGACCCTGTTGATACACTTTGGATACATTTTTATTTAAAAGTGTCTGAGAGAGAGAGAGAGAGAGAGAGAGAGACAGAGATAGACAGAGACAGAGTGACAGAGAGATAGAGAGCGAGAGTTCACTTAGTTGATTCAGCATCCCAGCTCCAGGGTTACGCAGACGGACCTTTGGGCACCTCGACGTGGTGTAATGGTTAAAAAGCTTGTCTTGCTAAATCAATTACGACTGAGTAGTGAGTTCGATCCTCACTGGGTGACCCATACTTTCAGCCTTGTGCTACATCTAAGCCGGGCTTAGAAAATCACTACGCAGGCGGACCTGTCTGTCCACGCTTCAGTGAGTAGAATGCTTCGAAAATTTAACGGTCACAGGACGTATTAGAGGCAGGATTAATCTGAAATTTTTGGCAGCAAAAGGCAGGACGTTGTGGACAGACATGATCGCCCATTGTCTGAAACGATATCACTTACAGAATAATAATAATAATAATAATAATAATAATTTTGGGGTGTTTCTTTTGTTGAAACTTTAAAAGCGGCTAATTTTTTTTCTATTAATATACACGAGACAGTAAATAATTACATCGTTTCATTTTCAAACAAGGAACGAGGAAGTTAAAGAAAAAAGAAAAAAAACTCTTAATTACGTAAGAGGTTAATAGATGCAAACGTCATTAACATTTTTATTGGATAAACCTTTAGACTGGGGATCAAATGATTAATTGATTCGTTTTATAAAGTGGGGGATCAAATCATTTTGAATATTTCAAAAAGGTCTTAAGTGAATTGGAATTTATTTGCCAACCGGAAGTGGTCTTACTGCGCACGCATCCGTTGGAATACACGTTCAGTTGTGACAACTCTAGTAAGTTTTTGTGCTGTGTGTTAATATTGCATTAACAATTTTTCGTGTAAGTTTGGTTTATTTTGTTTTACGGCATATCAACCTCAATGGGTTATTTAATGCCGACAAAATTTTTATTGTTGGTAATTTTTTTTTTAAATATATTGCTGGTAATATCTTTTTTCTTTTTTTCAAAAATGTACTGCTGGTAATAATTTTTTATAAAGTATTTCTTATATTAAAACCTATTTTTACACTTTCATGGTATTTTGTCCCAAGTTTCGGTGTTAACTATTTGCCCATAGCTGACTCCCAAACAGGTACTACTACCGCAGGTTAGGGTGGACCTGGGAACACCAGCAATTAAGAGGTAGTTTCACGCTCCTTAAAACCTCCTGAACAGAGTCCTTGCTATTGGACCTAGTTTGTCGTCTTACTCATGACGCGGATGTAGTTTATCGTCATACCCAGGACGGGCTTCGCGTAAGGTATTGGAAAAAAATTTAACTCCCTGAATTACACGCGGAATATTGTCCTCATCTTTGTGGAAGTTACCTCAACGTTTCGGCCAGTTGTTCCCACCAGACTTCATCAGGTGCTGGTTGAGCCGAGTAACCTACAAGGTATTTCAAACAGAACCCTTTATTTAATCTACCTGAGGGAGATTGTTCTTATTACGCTGACATCTAGGAATATCTCATCTATTTCTTTTATAGTAAGTACTGAGTACTACTCAGTTATTGCTTGTTCAATTTCCACTGAGTACAAGTAGACACTGCCTGCCCCATCGATTGAACTCACAATTATTATATCACCAAATTTAAGAACCAATCCACTTGGCTATTTATTTTCCTGTAACGTTGCCCAAAACAAAATCCGGTATTGAAAGGCAGATTACAGGCGTTGGGTGAGATCAAGGAGAACGTGAAGCAGCTGATGGCGATCCCTGAAAATGACTTTACAGATTTATTTGAAAAGCGGAAGTAAGTGTATGAAGTTTACGACCACATCACGTTGAAACACTGTTTTCCGTACAATCACCGAAGTTAAGCAACGTCAAGCCTGCCGTGTAGTTAGATGGGTGACCGCTTGGTAATACCAGGTGCTGTAAGCGGGTGGTGCAACTGATAATGGAATTATTAATCGGAAAGCTGAGTTCCAATCTCCGTTGTGTTCGTTATATTCACTTACGCGCAAATAGACTTGGGAAAGATATGAATTCACCTCTTCTCCCCCAGTTATGGGTTAATTAGTAAGACTTGTATCACGAGCCATTATTATCTAAAAATATGTCTTACAATCTTAAAATATTTTCTGCCTTTAAATAATCTGAAAATGGTTGATAAGCCGTAGAAAACGAGACAATCAACCAATGAAATACTGATTAGCTACACAGGCATGTCTTTTCGAATTATTTACATTCTCTGGAAGAGAAATGTATAGAAATTACCCTGGACACAAAGTAAGGGATCAGTTTATATATAGGTTGTAATGTAGAATTGATCCCCCACTTTATATCCACATTATAATTTCTTGTTTGTTGATAAGCCGTAGGAAATCAATGAAATATTGATTGGCTATACAGGCATGTCTTGTTTATTTATTTACATTCTCTGGAATATAAATGTATAGAAACTACAATGGTCATAAGATGGGGGATCAATTTATATGTTGACTGGAATATAGAATTGATCCCTCACTTTATATTCATGCTATAATTTCTTGCTGGCATGTCTTTTAGATTTATTTATATTCTCTGGAATAGAAATGTATAGAAACTACCGTGGCCACAAAGTGAGGGATCAATTTATAAATTGATTGCAATATAGAATTCATCCCCCACTTTATATCCATGTTATAGTTTCTTGTTTGTTTATGAAATTCCGATTAAGTATAGATATGCCACTTCTCTCCCCACTATAGGTTAAATAGTAAGACTTGTATCGCTAAATCATTCAAAAAACAAAAAATAATTCTTACAATCTAAAAGTATTTTCTGACTTCAAATAACCTGAAAAGGGTTGATAATCCGTAAAAACCAATGAATCAATAACGGAACGGAACTAAAATACCATTGCCCTATGTAGGCATTTTTTTCCCGTTAATATTAACTGTTGTTTGCTTTTCGAGCTGAACTGACAACCTTCGTTTCTTCAGTAATAAATCTATTAATAGAACACGCCTCTTTGCTTTATTAGTTTTTCATACATGTCACATGAATATAAGTAACCTAATGGTGGCGAGATTTTGAATAATAAAGATGACACATTACAGAGTAGAAGGGATAAAAAAGAAAAAGAAAGGGTATCTTGGGATTCCTATTACTTTTTCAACAAAGTGTAATTCCGATTCATCAATGACCATTACGTGCAGTTGTTTTAGAATTTAGTTACTTAACGATCAATCAAATAGTATCAATTATTGTCAGGCGTAAGCAAAATATCAGGCACGACGTCGTAAACAAGTTTAATAGACAAAAGAGAGTCTTTCTTTCTTTTCTTTTTTCTTTCTTTTCTTACTTTCTTTCTTTCTTTCTTTCTTTCTTTTTTTCTTTCTTTCTTTTCTTTTCTTTTCTTTTTTTCTTTCTTTCCTAAATGTGTACGCCAGTGGACGCTTAGTACAATAGCGCCTACTTACGGTCAGATACAAAAGAAATAAACAGATAGATCGAGAGAGAGAGAGAGAGAGAGAGAGAGAGAGAGAGAGAGAGAGAGAACAAAGACAGATATGAGCAAGATTAGATAGATATATAGACAGATATTAACAGATATTAACAGATATATATATATATATATATATAAAAAGAATGTATAAACATAAAAATGTCTTTATCTATCTATCTATCTCTCTCTCTCTATATATATATAAAAAATGTATAAACATAAAATGTCTTAATATATATATATATATAAAGAATGTATAAAACATAAAATGTCTTAATATATATATATATATAAAGAATGTATAAACATAAAAAATGTCTTAATATATATATATATATAAAGAATGTATAAACATAAAAATGTCTTATATATATATATATATCTATATAAAGAATGTTTAAACATAAAATGTATGTTTAAACATATATATATATATATATATATATATATATATATATATATATATATATATATATATATATATATATTTAAAAAATATGATTCCAACTCGCGACATAAGAGGTCTCATATTTCAAAACAAGAGCCGAATACAGTTTTCGGCTCTTGTTTTGAAAACATGAGACCTCTTATGTAGCGATTTGGAATCATATTTTTAAATAAATAATTATATTTATGCTCTACTTTTGTATCGAGCACTATTTTTAAAACAATAACTAAAATACTAAAGAACTTTTGGATTATTTACCTAACCATTTCTTTCCTATTTTCTATATATTTCACACACACACACACACACACACACACACACACACACATATATATATATATATATAATGAATATAAACATGAAAATGTCTTAATATATATATATATATATATATATATATATAAACAAACAATGTATAAAGATAAAAATGTCTTAATATATATATATATATAAAAAGAATGTATAAACATAAAATGTCTTAATATATACATATATATATATATATATAAAAAATGTATGAACATAAAAATGTCTTAATATATACATATATATATATATATATATATATATATATATAGATAGATAGATAGATAGATAGATAGATAGATAGATAGAAAAATAGACAAATATTATATATATATATATATATATATATATAGAGAGAGAGAGAGATGGAGAGATAGATAGATAGATACGAACAAACTAAGGCAGATAGATGGATATGAGCAGGGTTGGATAGATATGTAGACAGATATTAACAGAGATAGATAGATAGATAGATAGATAGATAGATAGATAGATAGATTCAACTTTCAATGCTACCACCAAAGACTCCCTGTCAAATGTTGATGGTCGGCCGGATCGTGGTTGATCGTCAAGAGTAAGATCCCCGGAGTTGAAATGTCTATACCTCCTCGGGACCTTCGACTAACTGACTGTGCCTTCTTCAGTATTGCAACTTTCCTTTTCCATAGCATCTCTTGTAGAAAGTCTTCGTTTGTTACAATACAGAATCAAAATTCGACTTTCTCCCAAACTCATTTTTGTCAGTTGGGGCCTTACACCCCAAAAAGCAATAAACTGCGCAGGCGCAGTAAACAACTGCGGCGTACGGAGACTGGTAGTCAAATGAGTAACGACGTTCTGGCTAACCTAGCCTTTTGTTGTTTTCTTTCCGCTTCCTAAGTGAGTCGAGACTTTCTGGCCAAACTAATATTTTAGAAGTACGGCAAATTTTCCACAACACGCCAGCCACCTTCTGGTTAGCATATTTTCTCTCATCATCCTTAAAAGTAACTTATTCGTCTCTACTACGCACATACAATGTTACATGTTGTCACTTATAAAACTGATTGTCCGCTTTCGTTTGCATTAGTATATTTTCCCTTATGTAGATATATCTATTGTGATCTTCCGGTATTTCACCGTTGTCGTATATTTCATTTAGTAGTTCGATAATCTGAAATCGTCTCATGCTGATAGTATCTCATCATCTTCTCCTTTTTTTATGTTGGTTAGTGCCATTCTCAAAACATGGTGCAGATTTTACCTGCATTACTATTCTAGTTTTGTTTTACGGTATCAACATGGAGATTGATGCGCTTACCGAATCGGTTCAAAAGCGAAAAAATAGTATTTAAGGAGAACTTGGCATCAACCGCCTGCTGCTAACCTTGCACTTTGAAACAACCGGTTCTTCTACGATTATCGAAGTTAAACAATTTAAAAAAGTTAATACGTGTGGCCGTTTGGGAATATCACGTGCTGTAAGTTTGGATGTGCTGGTGTTGCAATTGATAATGGCTCGAAATTGGAAATCAAAGAGCCGAGTTCGAAGTCCAGTCGAGTTCGTCATATTCACTTACACGCAATTACCCTTGGAAAAGGCATGAATCCATCTCTTCTCCCTCTAGCTGTGGGTTAATTAATAGGATTTGCATCACTAAATCATTATTATCACCCAAAAACTGCAAAAGGTTTGCTAAACCGTAAAACAAATCAATCAACTATATATATATATATATATATATATATATATATATATATATATATATATATATATATATATATATATATACCGAGGTACCCGGCGTTGCTCGGGTGTACATGGCTGCAATTGTTTAAGCGCACTCTCTGTATACCCACACCCCCTGTCCAGAAATGTCTGCCTGCGTCCAGTACTTGCACGCATCATCCGTTGGTATACTAAGCTACGTCCCCATCCATCATCTTTTATTTTTATTCACAAATCTAATGATCAAACAAAAACAGGGTTGAAGCGTCAGAGCTTGATTCAACTGCAAGTGCAAACGCTTAACCCCCCCACTTCGTTTACTGTAAAGATATGGTTAATAAGAGGTTCTTCCCTTTTAACGTTTCAATAATTCTTTACTTCAAATGCCAACTTAGGATGGAATCATATAAAGAAACTATTGGCTATTTTGGACCTAGTTGTCGTTGTTGACATCCACTTAACTGAAATAGTCTAAACCAAACATTTACGCAATTTGTGTGTCTTATATAATTCACATGGCCAATTTGGAAAGCATCAGATGAAAAACCAGGGAGTTATGTCCGAAAAACTATAAAGTTGGTCTTGATCGTAATTTGTTAAATTTGCAATATGCGTATTTCATGGAAATCGATCAAGAAATGTGGATGTGCGTAAATAGCATACACACACACACAGAATGACACACACAGACAGACAAACAGCTTCTAATTTATAGATATAATTATATATAGATGTGTGTGTGTGTACATGTTTACACTGAGGTCAACACCCAGTCACATCACCCAATTGATTAAACGCAATTTTCAGTCCAAGTATATATAAACCGTGTATTTTTGTATTTATATTTTATTTTTCTATTTTATATAAGGACTATTTTCTTAAATAACTACGAATAGATTTAAATTAATATGTCTAGTTGTAAGGAAAGGGTAGTTCTCACCATTTACAGAATAATAAGTATATTTAGGAGGGGTGAAAACTTTACTT